TCATGCTTTGATTAAAGACATGTACTCCTCGGGAGTACCGGATTAGTCATGCTTTGATTAAAGACATGTACTCCTCGGGAGTACCGGATTAGTCACGGATTTAGCTGGTAAGTCAACAGAGAAGACGCTCGGCATCTTCTCGTCACTGATGTATGCATGTCAAAAGTCATCTAGTTAGGTGGATGGCTGGGTAGTTCGCACGGCGAGCACCCTTTTAGTCATTCCATGCAGGCAGCTTGACGACCCCAACGGAGACCGTCATCATACTGCCTTTGTTTTCTCAAGACCATGCAGGCTAGGTTCCTTCTCGGTTCTTTCCTAGGTTCCTTTTCCTGACATCAGAAGCGTTCTGATTTCAATCATATAGCCTTTTTGCTTTTGGTGTTTTAGTCTTGAAGAAAGCCATGAACAGTATATTGTACAATCATGCAAGCAGTCTGATAGAATGGCATAGCCTGTAAGGGTATACGGGAAAGGAATAGGTAACGCGTACCTTATGGTTCCCTGCCTCAAGAGTTCCTCCTGAACTCCAGCTGAGCTCCCGCAATTGCCCTGTATCGGTCATGTCTAGTCTATGCAATTGGTTGCCTGAACCTTTTTAGTTAGCATACCCAGGACTGTCAATACATCATGAGTCATTCATAGTCAAGAAGGTAGGTGCCCGAGGAACTCATCACAATGAGAAGAATGGAGGATGGAGGAGGTAGGCACCATTACACAGCAACACCGCTCTCCTCCTCCCAAATCGTAGCGTCTCAAAAATAGCAATAGTAGAACAATAATAATAATAATAATAATAATAATAATAATAATAATAATAATAATAAAATCAATAATAATAATAACAATAATAATAATAATAATAATAGCAGTAATAATAATAATAATAATAATAATAATAATAATAAAAATAATAATAATAATAATAATAATAATAATAATAATATCCGGAAGTTAAACATTGTGCTATTTTGCTTCGATTACCCCTTTTTGCAGCATGCGACCGTAAACATCGAAGATGTCTTATTGATCCATTACTCGTGGGAGAACTTCCCCCTCCCTCTTTGTTTACGCCACACTACCCTGGGCATAGCAACCCGCTCGCTTGTCCGGCATGAGTGCCTCTTAAGGCTATAGTTGTGTGTATATGTGACTTTCATCCTGCCCGCAGGTCATGCGGGCGCATGCTTGCTGTTCCGCGCACATGTTTGTTAGCTTTGTGGGTGCATGGTTGCATGCTTGGTCATAGCCTATCAGCGTTCTGTCGTCGGCTGCGATCCACACCGCTCAATGCCCGCATGCGGATGTGGTGACAATGTCGCGCCTCCTGTTGACGTCAGCGGCAGACCCATAGTTCATGTATACGTCGATCAGACCATTATCTCAGAGATTGAATCGTCACACGAAATCCATATCAGGGGTCAGTGATGCAAAGTTTAGATAGGTGTAGCTTAGAGGACTCGGCAATACCCCGGATTTAATCATTTTTAGAGGTTCAATTACTAAGTGCTTATCAGTGCGGAATACGACAACCCAAGACTAGCCCTTTCGTCAGAGGTAAGTATCTTTCCCTTTTAATGTGGCGCTAGTCCGCCCAATTATCAGTCTGTGTCAGTTTGTCCGATTATTTGTGTCTGTTTTTGGTTGAATGTCAGTGTCTACTCGGTTCTCTGTTTTTGTCTGCCTGCTTTGTCCATGTCCGTCACTGTCTGAATGTCTGGATGGATATTCCTATCTGTCTAAATCCGTTTTGCTTGTTCTGTTTTGTCTGTCAAACTGTGTTTGTACATGCCTCTACTACCTTCGCGCAACCTTCTAACTTCAACATTCTGCCCCTCACCACAGCGCACAAGTGTACCAGTGCTTTCACACTTCTTGTGAACAAGCAATTTGCCTGAACGGTAGGCTGGCCAACCCTTTTGTAGTTTCGGATTGCACTTCAATTCGTGCCAGCCTTTGCTTCCTGGGGCCTATCCAGGTTCCGGCACCACATCCCCACAACCTTGTCTGCCATTGGGGGTCAAGGCCCGAAACCTCCCTAAATCTCCATTGGTCTGCAGCCGCTCGTAGGATGTGACATTTCAATATGACTTTTCATCATGAGTAGTGACTCTTGTCTCTAAGGTGTGACTGTTTGTCGGGTGTCTGTTGGACTGAATTGTTGAGGTACCCGACTGTGACTTCTCTGAATCTGACGAATTTGACCTTTCTTGAGCGACCTCTGTCCTGAGACCCAGCCTCGGGCCCTGAATCGTGGAAGATACTAACAGCAAACAATAATAAAAATAATAGAATAATAATAAAAAAATAATAATAAATAATAATAATATTTGCACAATAAAAGTAGTCGCAAATGGGCAAGTGGTGATGCTAATCCCGGTATGTTAACAGCTCGACTGCACAGAACCGGCGGTACATCCCAGGTAGTCAATGGTATAGTCCAGTCAGTCCTAGCCCAGTCCAGCAAGTACCTTAGGGGACTGTGTATACCATGTGTCAATGAAAAGGGGCAAGCCAACGAGTTACAGAAGTATAAACCAAGTGGCAGCGGCAGCCATTCACTCATCCCTGCTGAAGCCATGCGGATGTGCTGCCATGGTAACTCGTGCGAGGTGGTCTGCAGAGAAGCCCGAAGTCGAAGTGGGCTAGGGAGTTAGCGCAGTCCTAGCTTCTAGTAGCTAGTGTTGACAGGTGGCCACAACTGCCGTAATCGGTGATAGGCGCTTGATCGTGAGCGTTGCAGTGCGTGGGGAATCCAAAGTGATCCAGAGTGGAAGTATTAGCGAAAAAGTGGTGTTGACCGCAGTTACGAGAGTTGGGATGCTCACAGCATGTTGATGCGAGTTGTATCCAGACTGTGTTCTCGGTTGACATATCCCTGAGTTTGGTGTGGGCGCTGCCGGCAATTTGCTGCGCTACTGTTTGCATGCATGAGAAGTGCGAATGAAAACTGATTTTTACTACTACTACTACTACTACTACTACTACTACTACTACTACTAATAATAATAATAATAATATTAAATACCAATCAAATAATAAAAGAAATAATAAAATTAACTCACACAAGATGCAAGGAAAATGAGCGACAGCGATCTTCAGAAATCAAACAGCATCATATGCATGAGAGCAGATAGTTGTGACCTCGAACCAACAACAGAATTGCATCACGAGAATCACCAAGTAAGAACACACCAGGAGTTCATAATAGACAATGCTGAAATAGTCCTATCATCAACAAAAAAAAAAGAAAAAAAAAAAAGATTTGATATCCTATTTGGCGCTCAGCGCCCAGACTACAGATGATAGATCACATCTAGCCTATACTATAACGCCAAAGTTGACGTCAACGACTTTTCGAAGTACCAGCATACAGCGACCAATGTCGCATGCTTCCATCACCAGGTATGTCTCTCGCTACACTCATAACCTCATTCCTCAACACACAGATGCCACTAGCACCCAAGGATCCCCTTGCGCCCCATTCATCATACAGTAGTGCTGCTCAGACATGGCTGCCTGCTCAGTCAGTGTGTGTCTACCCACTGTATCTGTTTGTTCCTGTTTCCCCGTTTGTTCGTGTGTCCTGTCCTCGTAAGTTCGTTTGCTGTATGCCCGCCTAATCCGTCTGTGGTGGTATGCATTTGTCTGTCCTCTCTCCCCCTCCCTTTTTCTCATTCTCTCTCTCGTCGTCTGTAGGCACTGAATAGTCAGGTAGAGAGAGGGTAGGGAAGAGATGGTGGACTTCAGAAGAAGTGGAGGAAGAACTCTTTCTTCCCCTTTTTCTCTTTTTCTCTCGTCCTATGTGTGCGCTCATGGGGGTACTCAAGGTGATCTGGGATCGAAATGTGAAGTACCCAGGGGTGTCGGACACAGTGACAAGAGTTACGATGTGCGGTCGCTGAGGCACCATAGCCTGTTAAAGCGTGCTTGCATCCGAATCAAGTCTCGGTTTCCATACCTTCGAGCTTTGAGCTCGAGCGCTATGTGCCAATGTGAGCCACCTTCTGTCCGAATTCATGCGGAGTGAATGCGAGTTTAATTGTATAATAATAATAATAAATAATAATAATAATAATAATAATAATAATAATATTAATATTAATATTAATAATATTAATAATAATAATAATAACAATAATAATAATAATAATAAATAGTAATAATAATAATGACAAAAAAAACAAAAATAACGCATGGGTCCTCGTTCCAATAACAGATTTGCATCACGTGATTCATCATATAAGAACACACCAAGTGTTCATCAATGCCGAAATAGTCCCTTCATCATCATTAACGAAAAACTAGAGTTGATATCCTATCTGGTGCCTGGTGCCCAGACTACACATGTGGCAGCTCCTATCTAGCCTATACTACAAAGCCAGAAGATGACGTCAACTGCACTCTCGAAGTACGAGCATATGGCGACCAATGTCGCCAGCTTCCCCTACCAGGTATGTCTCTCGCCTCACACACACGATTATGTCCCCACTTATCCAGATGCCACGTATATCTCGACTC